ATAAAGTATATTTTAATTGCTTCCAAACATGTAAAATGTAAATAAAAGGAATGTCTTTAAGTTTAGTGTAAATTATTTAGGAATCACTGTCTAGTTAGCATGGTATGCCAGGGCATCAACAATAGTGGGAAACATGGGATAATTTGCATAACGGGCTTCTAAATTATCCCATGTTTCCCACTATTGTTGATGTCCCTGGCATACTGTGCTAACTAGACAGTGATTCCTTATATTTTCATTTCATTGTGAAATAGAATTGTAGATTTAGACTTTAAAAATGCAGAAATCGATTTAAATTACACGAGGATTCCCATCCCAATTTCAATAGTCCTCGCACACTGACGTCAAACACAAGATTTTCATGCATATTTGGACTCCTTAGCGTCAGACTCAGAGACAGATGCGCACGAGATTTGCATGCATATTAGGCCTCCTTGGCACCTGACCTATTGACCTGCCTAATTTACATTCCGGTAGAATTATCAAGAAATTAACTTTCAAAGAGTTATCACAGAGTGAAAAATTAGAAATGGAAATATTGGTGTGTGAATCACACAGACTTGCACGTAGGCATATTTTTCGTGAAGCGCGCTATGCCTACGTGACAAGTCTGTGTGATTCACACACCAATAACTCACACAAAACTTAAAAACATTCCTTAAATATACATAACTTTGAAAAACGGCACCAGGAACACGTGGTTTGGTTGATTCTGAGTGAAAACAACACTTAAGGAATCACTGTCTAGTTTGTTGGGTATGACTGGGCATCAACGATAGTTGGAAACGTTGGATAACTAGTAATTTGCATAAGAAGCTCGTTATGCATAAATTATCCCACGTTTCCAACGATCGTTGATGTCACAGGCATACCCAACAAACTAGACAGTGATTCCTGATATCATTTCTGGTTAAAACCAGATGTGAATAAGATTTAAATCTTTGAATCGTGTACACCGATAGGAATCATACTTCATGTATTTTTAGAATTAAATTGCCATTAAAAACTTAATGTGCATCAAGTTAAATACCTACAAATACCTTTAATATTATCGATGTAAATACAAGGGAATTTTCCAATAAAGCCAATCTGGAAAAAAATTCCTAGTAAGCAAACGACTGTTGGAATTTTCCAGCAGCATGAACTCTGAAGCATGTCATTTTTTGCGAACATGGACGAGACTTTGTCGATATAAAACACTGCTTCCGTTGCAAATAAGGTTTTTAATTAATGTAGAACCTTTGAAGATACCCCCAATGGATAATTTTATTTAACATTTGAATTAGAGTCTGGTTCACCAAAGCTTTGAATAGAATTCAAAGGATATACAACAACGATTTAGAATGCATGGACATGTATGATTTAGTGCTAATCATATACTAGTAAAGGGTAAAAATATAAACATTCAGAAGAGAAAACCCACACTTTGAATTCAAAGAATTTTTGCTCTGCTTAGATGTTATTTTCTTTTTAGAGATACCCTAGAATTGAAATAGCTCTTTAAATCCACTTTAGGACATTAATTATACCAATACGTATACATTAAATACTTGCAAATATTTGCAAATATTCTCCGACCATACTTCATACATGTACTTTAGTTATTTCTATGGCACGCCAAATTCACAAAAATGAGATAAACCCAGTTTCACATTTGATAAACTAGGTTTATCGACTGTAAACTATAGTTTACAAACCGTAAACTATAGTTAACGATTCGTTAAGTACAGTTTTCATCTGTAAAACTATATTTAACGGTTGTTAACTATAGTTTACGAATGATAATCTAAGTTTATCTGTCTGTAATAAGCGTCAACAATAGATTTTGTTGATAAACATAGATTCACATTTGTAAACTATAGTTTACAATCGTAAACTATAGTTAAGAGTTGTTAATCATAGATTCACAAATCGTGAAACTATATTTATCAGATCGTTAACTATAGTTAACGGTTTGTAAACTATAGTTTACAAATCGTGAAACTGTATTTATCAGATAATCTATGTTTTGCAATCGCAAATGATTGTTTTCAGTGTTTAGTATAGTTTACGGTTGTGAAACATAGTTATCGCGTTAACTATAGTACAGATATTGTTGTTAACTATAGTTTACGGTTTGTAAACTATAGTTTACTAAACCTAGTTTATCGACTGTGAAACTATGTTTTGCTCATTTTTGTGACTGCCATATATTTCTGTAATATTGCACTTTGTCTAATAGAGTATACTATGTTTGCAAAATTAAGTCTACTTTCGTTTTCTATAAATATCTAGGAAAATAGCAAAATAAAGAAAGTATGATGGTGGATCCTGTAGATGGATCTATGTTATTGACAATATTTAATGAAACTGTCATCAAACATGAAAAAAGAAGAGAAAGAAAGAAAGAAAACGTCATTACCAAATTATTCAATCAAAATTAGAGTGATATGAAAGAAAGAAGTTACAATAATTGAATAAGGGTACTAAACGCAAGCAAAAATTTGATGCACGGATTGATATACATTATTTGACTGATTTTGATTTAAAATGACATAACAAGAAAATCCCTAAAGTATAAAGAAATTGTAAGTATTCTTTGGTGCTCCGATCCGGTAGTTTGTTTCTCTTTCTATATATTTGTATTCAAATTTTGCACAACTTTATCAACCAAAATAGAAAATCTTGTATAATTTCCCCACTGTACCTGGTAAATATCAAAAGTCTATAAAACAATACAAAATAGGAGCAGACCAAACACGAACCTCCAAAACATCAGAGGTGGGAGCAGGTGCCATGGAGGAGTGAGCACCCACTAAAGATGTCCCACCTGCCGTGAGCGTCTTGTCACGATCGGGAAATAACGGAAGAATCCATCGACGATTCGGTGTGTATATAATGGCCTAAAAATTAGTATGAAAAACGTCAGTCAACATTTGATTTAATGATAAGTTGTATTTGCTGATCTTTTCATGACAAGATCATTGTATCGACCATCAATCTTACGAAATTATGACTTTCAACGAGACTGCTGATATTCTTTTCATCGATTACTTAGCATTTGCTTATTTACCTCATTTTAGACATATGTTCATACGTATACGTATGCTAGATTACCATTATCGTCTTTTTCAAGTAAAGTACGTATATAACGTCTTTTTCAAGTAAAATATATTACTAGTGTGTATAAATTCAAATATACATGCAGTCTTCTAGTGGGCGGGAACTGTTAAAATAAACACAGTAGGTCTCGTCTATTTTGAACCTTTTATACGGTATTTATTATTTATATTATAACTTTTTTCACATATGAAAATTTAAATATAAGGAATCACTGTCTAGTTTGCTGGATGTGACGGGGACTTCATTGGTGGTTTGAAACGTACGTGGAATAATTTGTGCAAAACGGGCTTCTCCCGTTATGCAAATTACCCCACGTTTCCAACTATCTTTGATACATTGGCATATATACCCAAAAACTAGACAGTCATCAACTGGCTGGTTCTATGCTCGGCACAATGATCTATTCAGCAAATGCAATCCATTTTTGCAAGTCAAATGCGTTTTTATACGAAATATTAGGTCATTATTAATATTCACACTGAATGACGGGATTTTCCGTTATTTCACGATCATGACAAGGAGCACACGGCGGGTGTAACCGGTCGACCGAGATGCTCACTCCTCCATGGCACCTGATCCCATCTCTGACGTTGTAGAGGTCCGCGTTTGCTCCAGACTGCTCCTGTTTTGTGTAGTTGGAATGGGCTTTTGGGTTTGCAATTGACTACTTTTCTTTATCACCATATATCACTGAATGAAATCAGAGAATGCGACTGATCATGGATTAGCTGTTCTTCAGAGAAGGTTTTAAAATCCCCCCCCCCCAAAAAAAACCTGAAAAACTATGCTCATTAATTCTGGTCTTTTGAAATGATTAATCACGGTTTTGATGCTCTTTTCCTCATAAAATTGTATATAAAACTTTGCCTATTGAGGATCAATCCTATCCCCTGAAAACTGTAATATGCATTACTTTAATTGCATCTTTATTAAATATGACTACAAAACTTTATCATATGCTAAACGTGATGACTTTAACTTTTTTATTATCATCGACTTCCCTTCTTTATGTAGCAGCAATATAAAAATACACTTATCGCCGCATTTGGAGCGTTTGACCCCTAGCTGATTCAATACGCAAGAGTATACTCTACTTACGAACAATTTCTAAAATAAGGCAAGCTATTGACAAGCAAGTTGATGAGACAAAGGTATTAACAGTCTCGTCTACTGTCAACATTTCGCAAAATACTATCATGGTCGCTACAATGACTTGTCAGCAAATATAATCTACCATTCAGTCGAATGTTGACTGATGTTTTTCATACTAATTATTAAGCCATTTTTTTTTCCGTTTGACCAAAGACATAGAATAACATTTATGGTACCTGTTCATATTTTTAAAAATGTTTTTAGAGGTCTGTGTTTATTCTGCTCTGAATCTGACATGCTTCAGTGTACTTTCGGTCTTGACTACTGTTCGTTTTCTCCATATTTCATAAGTAAGGTGTGCATATTTATTCACTTCTTTTATCCCTAATATGTAAAAAGAACAGGTATCAACATCATGAAAATGATATTTTTCCATTGAAAGTTTAGCTCTTTCTTCTTGCCATAAAACAGTAACTAACTGTCAGTCTGTCAGTAGAACAGGAATTATTCCGTCAGCCATTTGAAAGAGTTCCTTTCCCGTGCTAGTAAGGGCTTTCATCGAGTTTCTAGTAAATTCTTTTTAGCATAATTTTTTGTCCAACCCCCCTCTATATCTCTCTGCATTTTTAGATTAAGAAAAGGCAAAAACAACACATGTTTAGTTCAAAATATAGTTTTATATATTTGAATCATATAGAACTCCGATAGATTGACGTCATCTGCTGTTAATAACACGATTGCTTTTGCTGGTGTCGCCACGCCTGAATTACCACAGGTATTCCCAGGTAAATTAACAAAAGGTGAATAGACTGTATCCTAATTTTGAGTTCAATGGTACGTCTGTAAAATATGCCGGAAGTGTCTTGTCATGGTCACTTTTAGGTGTGAATTTTGCAGCAAGGTATACACAGTTTCCCAAAGTGACTAATGATGAATTAAACAAGAAGGATTAATAAGGGATTAAGACAAATGTCGGGCTTACGTCGAAAGGTAAGTCAAGTGTAAAATGTTTAATCAGCGCATTTGAATAAGCGTCCCCAGTCAATCAGCTGTTCACGACGATTACTTTTTGTTCCTCGTTTAAAACGAACATGAAGTTTATAAAGGGAAGATGTGATTATAGACGCGTTAGATGCCGCCATAATTACAAGATTATACAAAATTTCTTTTATTTTTTACAGAGTACGAAATATTTTTAAATCAAAAACATCAGTTACAAAGTTTTAATTGGATATGGATTTTGTGGTAAACCGAAACCATAGATCTAACTTTAAACGATTAGCATGATGTGGGTAGCATTAAAATGCTTTTATTTTTCAAGCTTTGATCAACTTAATCAATCGATAATCATGTGTTTGTCATACCCTGGACCAACAAAGTCGTCACGCTCTAATTAACAAAAGGACTGTACCCGTAACAAAAGAGAAAAAAAATCCTTTGCTTTTAAAGGTTGACTTAAGGACATCGTGTTTCAATTTCCATAAATTTTTGCATTGATCATGTTGATAAGAATTTTATATTCTGTTTCATCACTTACATGTGTATGGAATAACTGGAATGTGGTGACAAAATAAAGCTTATAAACAGGGGCTCTTAGTATATATGTGTCCCTGTTATAACGTTAGAAAAAAAATGATGGTTGTTTGACCAAAATCGTTTGTCATAAGCTTTAAATTAAATTTGTTCTAAAACTAACCCCCCACCCCATTGGTTCATTAAACTAGACAATATATATTTAATCATGGAAAAATCGAGATATACGTGTTTGTATGTTTTGTTTTTTTTTTTTTTTTTGTAACCAAACTCGGCATTGAATAATGCATGTGATACATCCATGTAATTTGATTACGAATTGTTGACAAAGAGAGAGCCACATCACAGATATTACCGAAAAGACACTAAAGAATCCGTTTATACTGTACTAACCACAAACGACTTTGACCAACATACCTTTTTTCTGATATACAGAAAGAGACACAAATAGGTTTTTAATCTAACTGAAAAATTTACAAAATTCATTAAAAATAGAATGTGAAATGCACGACCATAAGGTATGATTTTGCGTCTCTCAATAATATTTGGTTGACTTGGTCATAATCTGAAAATCTTTGAGGCAATACTGTATGATTAATCATATTCTTGTACAATTCTTAAAGTTTAATGCTATTTCTGCAATCAAAATTACCAAATATGATACAGGAAAAATGGGAGTCCAGTATGTCGGACGTGACCTCCAACGGGAATGCTGGGGACACGGGAAGTCTGGGTCCCCCCGATCTCATGACCAACAACATAGACCCGGGGATCTACAGAAATAACGGCAAGGCGGCCAACGGGGCTTCACAGGTAATGAATACTCTATTAAAATGAAAGTATATGAAATATCAGTCAAAAAAAATCAGCAATATCTCCATTTTTAATGGGCAAACAATATCTTCCAATGATAGCAAATTTTTTCTGAAAATTTTAAAATCAAATGTAAATTTTGATAATGCAAATACATACATGTATTTGAAGGTTACTATAGCAACAGAGGAGACAGAAGACAGCAGAAAGCAGATGTTTGGTAAAGACGAAAACGAAGAACGCGGAAACTGGACCGGAAGATTTGACTTTCTTCTCTCAATGCTGGGATACGCCGTTGGTCTTGGCAACGTTTGGAGATTTCCCTATTTATGTTACCGTAATGGCGGAGGGGCGTTTTTAATCCCCTTCATTTTGATGATGATACTAATTGGAGTACCCCTATTTTTTATGGAAGCATCGCTAGGACAATTTTGTAGCAGTGGTCCTCTCACTTGTTGGAAATTTGCACCGCTTTTCAAAGGCAAGTAAACTTTTATATAAAACACGTGTGTTCGAAGGAGTAAGATTCTTTCATTTGGCTCAGTGACTAACGAGGGCTGTTCAATAATTAATGTACTAAACTCTATGACAAACAACACAGCTATCATATGACATTAAGCTTGACTTTCACCCATGGTTGAAACTTTAATGAATTTACAATGTATATCAATTTATGTGACTAAATAATGAAACTTGAATCCATAGCTTTAAACCCTCAAAACGAATTAGCAATAAGATGCACTTGACAAAAACAGCAAAGGCTAAAGGGGAAAAAGTTGAAAAGGAAAAAAAAAATTAAAAAGAAAAATTAAATTAAATTTGCTGTTTAAAATTTTTTAAACCCCAAAAAAAATTTTGAAAAAAAGAAATTTCAAACCAATTTTTTTTTAAAAAGG